CTGACACAGCTTCAGACATCCAAAGCACAGGAGTCCATACCTCAGCCAGGTTTTTGGTCTCCCACATAGCTGCTAGAGGACAACAGCCATTACCAGAGGGAAAGCCAGGTATCTTTAGACACCTGTCTTGAGATGGCTCCAAAGCATTTTGTCCTGACAGTTTATGCTATGCCCAGTATTGTGGCAGAACCTCCCTACCCCAGGGAGGGGTAGAAAGTGTTTTCCTTCTTTGAGGGAAGAAGGTGCTGGAGAGTACCAGAGCTCTGAGCATAAAGGCAGAAAACCCCAAATAATCCATCCTGCCTTCACTACACTGCATGTAAGTCACCCAAGACCTCTACATAATAAGCCAAATATTTTAGACTAAACCTGCAATGCTAGAGAGACATTTCCTCTAAAATCTGGAAAAGGACACACAAATTCTAAGGGTTCCTCCTTACCTCAGACCTGCTGATCAAAACTTTCCTCCCCTAGATGTGGCAATCAAGTCACGCCCTTGCCAGCCTTCATCCCAATTAACCAAATACACTGCACTCCTCAAGCCTGGAGTCAAAGCAAACCCAAGTCATCTCTGGCTTTCCATGAATTCTTCCTGGTACTTCCCCTCCTTTCTTCAATCATCACCAGGCAGCGTGTCCCCCTTTAAAAGGACAAAATCAGGAGTCACATCCCTGCTCCCGCTTGCTCTCCAGAGCTGCACGGTTCCTCTGTCTCAGTCCCATGGACTCTCCCTGACACTGTGCTCCCCAGATGGGCTCACACACACTTCAGACAGAACCTGAATTCACTGTTCCCAACTACACACATTCAGCTGCCATAAAGGAGTGTGGGGTTGGTTTTTCTCCATGCTGCACTATTTAATCAGACACCAGCCTACCAGGGCTGATGAAATCCTTACTACTAAAGAGTGGGAGGAGATATTCCCAGACACTGCCATGCTGCAGGATCCCATGGCACACAATTCCCATGGGCTATGCTGGAGCGATGCTCCTCAGGTGTTTGTTAAATCAGAGCTGCCATAAGGCACCATCCATTCCTGTGCTCACAGGAGGCCCATAATAACCAAGGTAGAGTTGCTCTGGCCACCCATACTGAAATTTAAATAACAAGCCAAATTTCATCCCCCTTCTGGAACAATTCGAAAGCAACACAGCATGATGAAAGGACAAGAGAACAGATGGGTTTTGTTGTCTGCATGCTACCAAGGCAAACTTTTCATGGAAACTGAAAACCCCCCCCAGAACACCCTGACTATGTGATTCATAAATTCTAAGAGCCGAGAGAAACCAGCAAAATTATTTTGTCTGTCCGCCTGCCTAATAAAGACCACAGAATTTCATACAGTGATTTCTGCCCGAAGCCCAGCAATTTGTGGTTCAAAGAGAGTATCTCAAGCAGCCCACTGTCCAGCTTTGATGTGAGGATGTCCAATGAGGCGCTAACCACTTCCCATGCTGTCAAAAACTGGCTCTTCTACACATTGCCTACATCTCTTCACCACTGCATAGCTCTTGTAGCCTTCCCAAGGACATTAAAACTTTGAAGCAGTTTTCCCTTCTCTATCAAAACTCTCAAACAATAAAAAAGAGGGAAAACAGAGATTCTGAGGCACAAAACACTAAGCAAATACACAGAAAAACAAGAATAACAGAGAATCTCTATGTACCCTTCTGTGATTAAATGAATGAAATCTATATTAAAATGCAACTAAAGGTCCGCTCATTTTCCCACTCCAGATAACACAGTGGAAAAATTATTTTGGTACAAAACAAAACAAAAAAAATCCAAATGTACACCTGTGTGACTTGTAGGGAAAGCACATTTGTTTGGTTACAGAAGTAGTTTTCCCTACCACTTATAAAGCTTGCTACAGTTTCACAGCAATAAATATTTCCACAGCAGAGACCTTGAGTGGACAGAACAAAATCCACCTCAAAACCAACTCCTGAAAGATCGGCCTAGTAAAAAGACAACTCACTGCTGAATACCTCCTTCTGACTTTTTGTTTCCAAAATTTTGTGGCTGGTAGCACTGATGGGGGAAGGAAAAAATCTTTTTTTTCCTTTTTTAAGGAAACAAACTCAAAATGGCAGTAGTCCAGAAGGTTAGACGACCAGACTCCTCCAAGATGAAAAATATTTAGGTTGAGTACAGAATTAACACAAACACTTCTTCTTTCTATCTTGTAAGCGCAGCATTTGATGTCAATCTTGGTGATTAAGTTCCTCCACCCATAGACCCACAGCAGCCCAAGCAACAGCTCTGAGACTTCCCTGTAACATCAGCCTGCTTTGGAGAATGGGGGCGGGGGGAGGTCAGGAACCATCTCCTAAATCCACTCCAGCTCCTGGTCACCCCTAAGTAACCATATTCACATTTAATAAAAACAGTCCAGAAGGTTCATTCCAACAGGATGTCTTTTATTGCCACTTTCAGAGAGATGCTTTCTCACCCTCTGTCTGCATTTGTGCTCTGGTCAAACCTGAGCTGAAGACAAATTCTCAGGATGGATATCTATGGTCCTGTGGTTCAGACTCTGCTCGGATGAGCCCGGTTCCATTTTCTGCTCCCCCCACAGAGGGATGAATCTCACCTGCAGAGCAGGTAAAGGTGCATCTCCCGCTCATGAAAGTGCTGAGCTGGCTGTGGTCAGTGTGTGCTGCTAATAAAGGCACTGAGTGTTTGTGTAGGGTGTCTCAGGGGGCTGAGGCCCACACTTAATTGCACATTGTTACAGCCATACTTTTTGTGAGGTGCCAGCAGTAACACCTCTGGCCGTGGCTTTCCCAGCTGTCCATGAGGTCCTGCTACTACACCAGACACAGGACTGTGGAGACAGGAGCAGCATCCCTGTGGAGAAGAACAGCACATGTAGGCTTATGAATTAGACACTCATCTAACAGGGCAGGTCTACACAAACCATCTAGTGTTTTATTGCACATAAAACTTCAGACTGTTTTGAGGCAGAGAGGATGCTCTTGAAGATTTCAGGCACCGCAACTTTGTGCGCTGGAACTCTTACATCAATTAAAACTCTGTTAATTTGTACGGGTGCAATCCAAATGGGGACAGCCTGTGTGAAACAGAAGTGGACCTGGAGCAGGAACCACTGGGTCCCATTTCTGTACACACAGACCTGCAGAAAGCATCATGTAAAGATGCTGTATGGCCACCTAACTGCACTGACACTGAAGGAATTCAGACTTAACAGTGGTTCTGCTGAAAAGGTATTGCTTCTGAAAAAGCCAAAAGCACTGTTTTTTGAGGTCCTGGGTAACCAGCAGTTAAAACTCTGCTTTCAAACCATCCATCCTGAAGTGGGCATAGAAGGTAAAAGCAGCAATCCTCACAGCACAACAGTGCAGAAGATGGAGTGAAACCCCACAGCCAGTTTAAGTATAAGCCTCACAGTTTCCATTACTGCTACTGTAATGATTTTGCAACTCTCATTTATTTTTCACCATTTCAGCTGCTAGTTTGTGGCAAATATTTGAGGAAAAAAAAAAAAAAGAACCCTAAACCCCAGACTGCCCATCCTTGACAGGAACAGTCCTGGCATGCCTGGAATGTGTAAAACCACAAAAGAACCATTTCTGTTCATATTACTCCTTATGAAATCCCCTTTTAAAGAAGCCTCAGCACTGGAGGCTTTAGGCACTCAGCAGAGCCCCTACAGGATTGTATTTTACTTTGAAACGTGACTTATCAGCCAAAGCCCAGGCGGGTTTGGGTATCTGACTGTTGTGCCCTCTCCTTTGAACTCCAGGACCGTTACGTGCACGGCCGCCAAACTGGTCAAGCCATTTTCTTCCCCTCCTTTGTTCTGAGGTTCAGGATAGATAAAAGCTGCACCAGGCTTGCTGCCTCACCAATGCCAATGTGACTGTTAATTTTACATTTAAGGAAAAAAAGCAAATAGTAAAGGCCAACACCACAGAATGATTATCACTGTTACCACACAAAGGCCAGAACAACCACAGCATGATTCAACAATCATGGGCTGCAGCAGCTATCTCCGGACACGCACAAGAATGTTCTTTGGCAATGCTGTTCTGCAGCTCTCTGACATGTCCTTTTCTGTTTCTGAGTCTTTTTTTCACCCTCCCAGCCTGCTGTAACATCAGCAGGGTGGCAGCCTGGTGAAAGAAAGGCTTTGATCAGCTCCATCCTCTTATAGGGACACCAGCAGGGCACAGGCTGAGCAGATGCCCAGGGAAGTTGTGGATGCCCAAGCCCTGCCAAGTGCTCAAGGCCAGGTTGGAAGGGGCCCTGAGCAACCTGGTCTGATAGAAGGTGTCCCTGCCCATGGCAAGGGAGCTCAACTAGATGATCTTTAAGGTCCCTTCCCACCCAAACCAGTCTGTGATTCCATGTGAGTTTGCTCTGCTGGAGCAATGAGGTGAACAACTTGTGTCACTGCATTAGTGCAGTGCTGCCCACACCATCTCCTGAGGTGCCTCAGGTCAAATCCTGCTCCTGTTTAAGTTACTAGGTAAATTTTTTTGCTGGCTTCTTTTTGTTTTTTAGCTCTCTTTTTTTTTCATTCCTGAGGTTTCTGGGATCACCTTTCCAAGCAGATCATCACAACAGGCACATGGCAATCTGTAGTGTGAGGCTCATGTCTGGCTTGAACTTCAGAAAGCACCAGATCAATGCAAGATCAAGCTGAAACACAGGGACTGTTAACCCCAATTTCCAGCACTTACTGCCTTTTGTTTGTGCAGGCTGACATAGAGCCCTGCAAAATGCAAGCACTGTAGTCCATAAGCAAGAGGTCTGGCAGGACAAACATTAAAGACTGTAAGAAAGCACAGGCAAAGAAGTATCTTGCACAGAACTGAAAAAAGAAAAGATAAATGATAAGCAGGAATTCCCCAGTGGGCTGAGTTTATCGGTGTGATTGCTTTCAGGACTTTTTTCTTGTTGTACCACTTTGATTTGCATATAAAGCATCTCTAACAGGAAATAGCATCTGTTGTCCTGGTAAAAAAAAAAAAAAAAAAAAAAAAAAAAAGAAGATAAGGATTTTTGCTGCTCAGAGTAAAATGTCTTTCAGCACCACATGACATGCCAGAAAGCCCCTCTCCTCACTAAAGCAATTTTCAGTAGCACATCACAGCTCTTCTTCACTCCTTGCTCTGCATCCCATCCCAGGGGCAGCAGCACATAATGTGGCTCCTCAGAAGAGCTTCCATAGTTAGAAAATCTGAAAATGAAAGAAAAAACAAGCAGGTGAGTTGATTTGCATTCCAGATTCACAATTAACACTGCACCAAATTAGTTTGTAGGAAGTGGAAGAGCAAAACGGAAAACCGCCAACTTGAAAATGCAAATCTTCACCCTTACTACAATCACAAGCATCAGCCAGGATTCTTACAGGCTAGGAAGGCACCAGTAAGAACCCATTTTTCACTACTTTTTCAATGTGGTCACTTCATGAACTTGAGAGTGGCTTGTGATATGTGGTTTCAATCTTATACCATATATAGCCAGTTTCATTTCCTGGAGAGAACATGAACAGAAAAGCAGAAAACCTTTAAAAGGATTGAAGACTTTTAAAGTCTTTTCTTTCTCCTTTTTGTCTTTTATTGCTACCTTCTTATACTAAAAAAAGACTTTTATTAAATTAGTGCAGCATAAAAAAATGGATCTTTTCCCAAGGCTCTTGGATCATCAAGAATATAGGTTGCTGCTTTGAAACTCACACACCAGCATGGAGTCACAGCATTTTGAGTATGGTATATATGCATGGACACATACTATTCCTCATGGAATCCCAGGGGTCCTGGTTCAAGCCCAGCAGTGAGCACAGTGAGGTATGTTCCACAGCCCTGTGCACTGGAATTGCAGGACCTCAGCTACCCATGGCCATCAACAGTCACAGCCCCACGGAAAGCACAAGTAAAATCTTGCTTTCCAGATGAGTAAGTGAGATAGTGGTAGTCACAATACTACACCTCTTCGCTTTTTTCTGCAGAACTCAGGTCATTGCCTCATCTGTCTGGGCTCTGTGTCTCTCCCTGTGGGACCCCATACCATTAGCAGGGAGAAGTCATTGCCACCCCAGGGCTCCTCCATGTTCCTCTTTCCTCCTGGCTGCTGAGAAACACTCAGCCTTTCCAAGCACAGTCACAGGGGTCCTATTTAAGCAACCAAAGGACACAGCCCCATGTCCCAGCAGCTCTGCCACTCCTCAAAGGCTGGCTCAGTTGCTGAGAGTGCAGGCCAACTGGACCTCAGGAAAGAAATTGCAGCAAAAACCAACAACATACTGGGCTGCAGAAACAGCCAGGAGATCTCAGCACTCATTAGACCCCATCTAGACACTGCATCTTGTTTTGGTACAAGAAACACGTGGACAAACTAGAGCAAGTGCAGTGGACTTGCCCAAAGAGCAAGTGGGAGCTGTGGGAGCTGGGCTTGTTCAGCCAGGGCAAGAGATGGCTTTGAGGGAAGCTGCAGCAGCCCCGGCACCTGCAGGGAGGTGACTGGGAACACAGCAGAGTTCACCTAAAGCAGGATTTGAGCAAGCAAAGTCATGAACAACCTAGTCTGATGTCACAGCTGGCCCACCCAAGATCCCTTGCAGCCTACATTATCCTACAGGCCACCTTCGAACGGCACCAGCACAAAGGCTTTGGAGGAAAGGTGGGAATCACTCAGCACTCAGGGACCGCGATATCTCCCCCAAGTGAGAGAGTCAGAGAAACAACCACATCCCAAGACCATGAAGGCCCAGAAATGACCCCTGGGCACTGCACCTTATGTTCCTCTCAGGACACAACAAACCCCAGTCCTGCATGCATCCCACAGAGCCCCACGTGCAACTGTTCGTCTCGGTTGGGGCGTCAGTGGCCAAGGAAGTTCTGTCCAAGTCCCATTTGCAGCACACACACGTCCATCCCTCTCCCCTGAATAAATACACACACATCACAACAGAACAAGAGGATTCCCTAAGCCCCATGGCCAGGCCAATCACAAAAGGGCTCTCCATGTACTGCCTGAAGAGGCAGCCTCTATTCCACAGGATGGAGATGTTTCAAGAAGCCTTCCCTCTGCCCAACAAACTGCATGGCTCTGGTGCAGGATGACCCAGCTACACTGTCAATGTATCATCCTCTCCATCCCTTGTGTCATGAAGTGTTGGAAAAATGTCTCCTTTCAGTCAAAATACCTTATTTTGCTAAGAGACAGGAAATGTTCACAACTAAGAAGATGAAAAGGGACTTTACAGACAGCAGTACCAAGTTCCAGCTTTTTAGATGGACCCATACAAACTACATGACAACTGTCACTTGTGCTGGGTGGGCAGAAGAGGAGGAGGTGGAAAAGGAGAGGTTCATCTTCTTGCCACAGGTCACCAAGAAAGTCAGTGGCAGAGCCATAAATCCCACTGTTCCTGAGTCTGGATGCTCCCCATCCTCTTCATGCCTCTGCTTGATAGCCAAGCTTTGCTTGCAATTAAAACTGCCCTCCTCATGTTGCACATAATTACACTTCTTTTTGGAGACCATTGCCTAAGGAATGCCAGCTCCCCACCAGAAGTCACTCCTGACTAAATATCATCTTTCAAAAATGCAAACTTGTATTGGCATAAAGAAACCCATCCAGCTTTGAAAATATGCTCACCAACGTGTTGAGATGTGGTCTTGTCTCACAGGAACTTAGAGGCTAAAAGGGCTTATCCACATCTGAGTTTTTTGGTACTTGGAAGTGAGACCAGCAAGCATTTTTACACCTATCTATTCAGAGCTTTATTTTCAGTACAAAGAGGGTATCAGACCACTCAGTTTCAACTTCTGCTGAAATTCCTGTGTGACCCAGGACAGCTCATTTCAAGCAGTTTTGAGTCCTCATGGTGACTTTGCTAAACTGAATTTCTGTAACTGCACCCATACCAATGTCTGCGTAAGTCAGCAAGAAAACCACAGCTTCAGTCAAAATTAGTACATTTGTACAGAAATAAAGACTGAAAAACCCCATCTCCAGCTCCTTGTTGATAGGTAAGCTCTTGAAGCCAGATACACCTTCAGAAACAGCCTCCCTTTCCTCTTTCCACCCTCTCGTTCCTCTAATCTTTGAGCTAGGCCTCAGGGCAATAACTTCACAAACTTGTTTGCCAAAGGAGAAGGATGCTTTCTGTCTGGGAAGCCGGGAAGACTGTGCTGGAGCAGAGCAGACCCCGAGCATGCAATTACCCAGGCAGCAGCAACACTATGTTAATTCACTGGATCACTCTGAAATGAAGCACAGTGCAAGTCCCTGGAAAAAGTGAAAAGGAGCCTGTTAAGGAAACTGTGTGAAGGCCTTGTGCATCATTTTTAGACCTGAACTGGCAGCCAGCACGCCTGCTCTTCCCACCGCAGAGCATCCAACAGGAATGATGGGAACCACGCTCAAGGCTAACAGGGGACATCGGGCAACATCCTTATTTTTAAGAGCTGAAGACACATGCATTAGCCCCTGCAAGGGGCATCTGCAGAGCACTAATCCAGGGTAGATCACAGTCATAACGCCATGCACACTCTGTCAGTGTCCAGAGAGTTCTCACACGCCATGCACACTCTGTCAGTGTCCAGAGAGTTCTCACACTTTGAGGAGAGCAGTCTCCTCCTTGGTGTCTGCAGCTACCAAGATCACATCCCAAGCTCAGCTCCTCTACTCAGTCACCCAGAGCTCCTTACGTAACTCCTGCCCTCCAAAAACAAACAACAAAACCAGCACAGCAAGGAGAGGAGAAGTAGACTGGAATGGACCTTTGGTGAATTTGTTATGAGAACTCAGTGCAGTCAGAAGGTCTGCACTGACTGCACTCCTGGTGCATCATCCTTCTCCTTCGGACTAATTCCTCTAACACCCAGATACTATGGCCTTGTGATGGCATCATGACAAAAGTAGTCTTGCACTCTTAAATCAGAAGGGATGCCTTGCTGCAGGCAGGAAAACTGGCTTTTCCCTAGGGAAAAGGGACAGAGGAAGAGTCACAAAGATCTCCACTCTACCTCCTTATGTTGGACAGAGTGCCCACCTGCATAGTATGAATGCAGATTCCAGATACCACAAATCTCTTTGAGGAGCAAGCAATGATTCATCAAAGGCAAGGGCAGCTTTAAACCTGCACAGCCTCATGTAGAGAACTTTCTTTTGTAATCCATACATAGATTAAATTCACCAAGTGGAAGAGTTGCACACCAAAGCTCTTTCTGCTGACCACTGAGCTGATATATTGAGGTCAGAGGCTCATCTGTGCCGACACACTTCTTGAGGAATGCGAGTATGGCTTTCATGCATAAATACAGCTGTTACCCTGAGGAGCAGGGGGTGACCAGTTTAATGCCACAAAGTTTAAACTGAGTTCTTACATTGCACCAAAACTCCTGGGTTGCTGCAGAAATAGGATCAACAGCAGCAAACATCTGGAGAAAGTCTTCTCCTAGCTTCTGCTATTTTCTGCACAGGCTTTTTTGGAGAGAGTTTTTTGAGTGTAAGACTAAGACAAATCTTGTTTAAAAATACATCTGTTTTGCACAGACTGAGTTTTGCTCTCCAAGAAGATGGGAGAAATAAAATATAAAACTAAGCTGCAAAGACAACAGTGCCTAGCCAAGAGCCCTGGCCTTTGCAGAACTCCTGATGGCTGTCCCTAAATGGGAGCACTCCACTGCCAGGTGACGTGTCCCAGACAAGATGAGTTTCCTGAAAAGCACTGACAACATGCGGTTAAAAGCTCAGCACAGACAAGCAGCGAAACAAGTCTGTTTTCAGGTTTTTGAGCTGAATATTCAACACTTTCCGTGTTTGCTCTCTCACAGGTTATCTGGGCTGCACAATCAGCAAAACTGCAAAAACACTTGCTGGGGCTCAGCTACCAGGCAGTCTGTAATGGAGCTGTTCTGGAGGAAAACAGAAGTGTTATTGTGCTCATGGCTGTCCCAGTACAATTAGTCATATGTGATGGAGAGATACGCGTCCTCACAGAGCTCTTACTGCCTTGTCAACAGATAAAGTCAAAATGAAAACATCCTAAGTATCAACAACCAACCTGAAAGCTGATTCATGAACCCTGAAAGCAGCCTCAATGCTACAAAGAGATTTCTTCTCTGCAGAAGAAGACAGCTGGATTCCTTCCATCTGTCCTCTTTTTCTTCTTCCCATATAATTTCTTAACACTGCTCAATGAAATAATGTTTCTTCTTTCATCTCCCC